ATGCCTTATGTGTGTACGCTGTGCAAGTTTGTTTTATTTTTTGATTTTCCCCCCACTTTCCATTCGTGTAATCACCTATATCTCAGACGCAGAAAATGTGTATTTTGGAATTTCCCTCCCTCCCCCCTCTCCCATGCAAATCGTGATTTTCTCTCGCTCCCGTAATTCTTGGACTTTCGAATTTAAATTTGAAAATACCCCCAGTTAGTTATTATGTGTCCGTATGCTAAGTTTCACTATGATAGACCGATTTAACAAGAAGTTATAGCCATAAATATATTTGCTCAAGCGCTGCCCGCGGCTGTTGTTGATGCTGGTGCTTTGGTTGACTGCGAACACGCTTATACAGACGCGAATATACGAGCATAAACATACATACACTCACATAGACGCAATTGCTTTGTATATGTGCAATTATACACCCTTTACGTGAGTTCAAATACCAAAAGAGGTAAAATCGATCAAAATTTTTTTTATTTAATTCTCTTACTTTTTTTAATTTCTATAATTATTCTAAACATATGTACAGAGTATTTCAAAGTCGGGACACCGGACTTTAGCTTTATTACTTGTTTTAAATTAACTATTAACAAATATAAAACAAGTGGAGTTCTTGCCTTTCCCTATCAAAGTCATCTATCATTACGTGTTTCAACGCAGCTGCAAGCCTGTCGGAGATCTTGCTGTGCACTTTAGTTCCAAACATTATTTCAAACGGCGATTTTTGTGTGGACGCAGGAACAAGGGAGTTGATTGCCTTTTAACTTGTGGGACGAACTTATACCATTTCGAAGTATCGTCTGCAGAAAGCTTGCTATAATGGACAAAATGACTCTGTTTACTCTCTCGATTTGCCCGTTGCCCCTGGCTACTCCAGTGGTTGTCCAAACATGCTGAATTTCGTTTTCCTTGTCGTATTGTTCAAAAGTGTTTGAGGTAAAGGCGGTTCATCTATTGCTCACTATTCGCAAAGGCAGCCCAAAAACGCACGACCGTTCCTCCAGCTTATTTATGACTTCTTCAGCACCAGTGGATTTTGTCGTGTAGTGCCACACAAACTTCGAGAACCCATCAATCATGGCAAATATAATGTTATACTGTTTTGCCGTGGAGTCCATCGGGCCTAACAGGTCGACATGTAGAATTTGTAACGGACAACTGCCTTTGTCTATGCAATAAAGATATCCCTCCTGCTTGCAAAGTTTTCTGTTGCTGATGCATTTTACACAGGCCGAAATTATTTGTGCCACCTTACGTTCCAAGTGTGGGATGTAGAGCTGTTGCTGTATACTATGAATCGTCTTCAGGACTGCGAAATGACCATCTGCAAGTGCTTCCGTTATTTTTTCACGTTCCATTGATTTGGGGACAACTAGAAGATCAAGGCAATTCACGTGCTTACAAAGAATATCCCCTTTCATCTTAAAACTTTAAAAATTGTCAATATTGCATCAATGAAGCTGTCTTTTCGCTGCTCGTGTTTTAGGCGTGCTGCAACTTCAGAGCCAACAACGAATATGTGCATATCCTTTAATAAATTTGCGAAAAAAAACCTGTCAGTCCCAAAAAAGACTGTACAGCCTTCACATTTGTTGGAAAAGCAAAACGTTTGACAGCATATGTTTTTGCCTTGACAGGACAGACTTTTCCGTTCTCTACCGTGTGGCCAAGAAAATTGATCTTGCTCTCAAGGAAACGAATTTTTTCCACTTAATGAGCAAACCAAATTGTTCAGCAACTGCCAGGACCCGCTTCAGCTTTCGGACGAATTCGTCTACTGTCTTGCTGTAAATGTCGTCCATATACATTTGAATCACATCCTCGGTGACAAGATTTTGAAAAACGCAGTTTATTAACCTTATGAACGCTGCAGCAGAATTGATGAATCCGAACGGAGCCTTATTAAATTCGTAAAGCCCCTCTCTTGTGATAAAAGCCCGGTATTTTCGACTCTTTTCCTCAACAGGGACGTGGCATAAAACTATTTTCCAAATTCATCACCACGAAAACTTTTTGTTTTTCTTAACAATGACGACTCTGCATGCGAAATTAGACGTTGATTTTCGCACAATTCTGGTGTTCAACCATTCGTCGACCTGTTTCTTAACGGCGTCGCATTCAACTGGAGAGTATCGGGAAGGTCGTTGTTTAAACGGCGTTAACTTTTAATTTGGCACGATTTTCAGCTCCACGGGACTTACTATAGGCAGCGACATTGGTTAGTAGGCCTCAGCCAACGGTCGGATAAGCGGTTCGAACTGTAAAGGTGTATGTATTTCAGTTTCGGTTTCTACTATGTTGTATATACTTTCGATGTAAAATGGAAACCTTCTCTATCCAAACAACGCAGAACTTTGAGACGAAATCTTAGCCCAAGCCGTTGTATTCCACTTTGTCATCAGGCATCAACCAAACAGTCCACTTCGACATTGTTAATATGAACTGGCTTAATGCGATTATTGTCTTGGGTCTCTTTTACGCTCTTTTCTGTTTGAGAGCAATTTTTCGACATATGACCACTTGCACCGCACTTTAAGCATATTGTTTCATTTCGACAATCTTTTCTCAAATGTGCAGTGGACCCAAAATTTTTTAGAACCACTCTCATTTCTTTTCCCAGCCATGTTTGATGATTTGTTCGCTGCTTCGGGTTCTTCAACGCAATACTTATCGATACCAAGTGCAGCTATTTCTCTCATATTCAAAACGTACTCATACAACGATTCCCTGTCGTGTTTATTTCTCTCACGAACTTATGAATGTCTGCACTGGCATTCCTACGCTTGAATTCGTCGATTTTTCACCTTAGCATACGAACTAGCAGAAACAGAATTCAAATACAACGCTGCTTCTTTCGTCATTTTCCAACGAGTTTGTACATATCGCTGCTTTTCATTCAGTTCGTAGGCATCGGCGTTTTGATCGAAATTGAAAAGCCAATGATCGACAGGTATATTCTGGCCATCAAACTCTGGCACTATTTTAGCAAAATTTTCGGGCGTTATTGCATGCATGTCTATGCGTGTCTATTCGTGTCTGTATCAGCATGTTTGGATCAACATCAACAACAGCTGCGGGCAGCAATTATATTTATGGCTGTTAAATCGGTCTATCATAATGAAACTTGGCATACGGACACACTAACTAACACACACTAACACACTAACTGGGGGTAGTTGAAAAATTTGTGTTCGAAATTCAGAGAATAACCGGTAGAGGAAATCACGATTTGCGAGGTAGTGGGGCAGTGGAGGGGAATTCCAAAAAAACACGCGTATTCCCATAAGGCATCTTGGGCTTCAAATTTGATGTCCCTAGGTCTAGGGCTAGGTCTCCGATATATAGGCGAATTTACGAACGGCGTTACGGAAAAACCCCCATAGGGGGAAATGGGGGGAAATTCAAAAAAATAAAACAAACTTTCACAGCCCCTATCCGGAAATCCATCCTTTTTTTGGACTGACTTAGCATTTTTCAACTCTTAAATACCCTGTACCTCACACCAAAAACGAAAAAATTAAAACATAAATAAATTAATTTTAAAAAATTATATTAATTAAATTTAATACAAATTATTCAATACATATATACGATAGTGGAGACATTTTCATGTACAGTTTCAACAGCATACATTTACATTACGTGTCTATGCGTGTTTATATGCGCGTATGTATGCAGCACAAAGTTGGACCAAAGCAGCAACAACAGCTGCGGGCAGAGCTGCAGGCAGCGCATGGGCAGCACTTTTATTTATGGCTATAACTTGCTTCAGAATTGACCTATCATGATGAAACTTAACATACGGGCACATCATCACTAACTGCATGTATATGCCATATTTGAGTTCAAAAAGAAATACAGGAGTTATGAATTACTTGAATTGCGGGGGAGTGGGGGGGGGGGGGGGTGGATCAGAAGAAAACACAAACTCGTCTTCTCGGACTTAGGAGAATGTGGATACCAAGTTTGGTTATTCTTGCTCTTGTACTTCCTGAGATCCTTGCGCCCATACAGACGGACGGACAGACGGACATGGCTATATCGACTCGCCTTGTCATCCTGATCAAGAATATATATACTTTATGGGGTCTGCCACGCCTCCTTCTGGCTGTTACATACATTCGCACAAAACTAGTATAGCCTTTTACCCTTTGGGTACAGGGTATAATTATGTATTCTTAAATTTAAGGTTATCGGAAAACTTTGAAATTTTAAAAACGATTAAGTTTTCCGTCGAAAATGTATTACGAACAATCAAAGAGCCTATTCTTTTAATTTTAGAGTTGTTTAAAATCAACAACGATAATATAGAAAAATTCTTATTACTTGCCCATCAGGTAACATTTAGATATTACTGCATATAAGTTGATATGTTTTTAATTAATTTATTAGATTCTGGTTACGTCGGTATGGTGCATGCTGCAATACGTATAAACATCCAGAAAAATATCTTAAAATTGTAGCCACAAATGCGTCATACGACAATGACGCAGAAGTCAATGATGCTATAATTGACGAATTAATAATAATAATAATTTTTTGTAACGACGCCAAACAATAAAAGGGAAAATTAATATGAAGAAACTAGCTGTCCTGTTTTTCTGTCCTTTTTAAATTTGTCTTTCCCTTTTTTCCGTTTTTTTGATGTTTCTTAATCCTTACTTGGGCGAGTTGCTGGCAACACTGGCATACACACATAAGGCATCTTTGTTCAAAATTTGGTGTCTCTAGATCTTATAGTCTCGGACGAACAGACGGACAGACAGACAGACGTAGATCGACTCGTCTTTTCATGCTGATCGATGCATTTACATAATAATTTATGAGTATGATCAATGAAAAAACTTCAACAAATCGAAATCAGTTCCATTTTAAGGCGAAATAGTGCGCCATAATAATGAACGTGTGGTCGACTTTAGTATATGGCAACATTTTTTGTCTAGTCTTTTCTAAAATACTGAACAATACATTTTATTGATTAATTACAATAAAGTAATTCATACATTTTGCAAATAAATTTATTTGGTAGGAAAATCAGGCCAGTAGTTTATATAGTATCTATGTGTAGTTCCTTCAAATAACCTGTCTAACCAGTTACTTAGGCCATCTAGCAGATTATCTTCCATCAAAACAGGAGCATCTATATCTGAATCATCAGAGTAACCCATCTGCAGAAATGTACCAATTTCAGGGTCTTCATTTTTTTTCAATAGCTGTTTTGTCATTTTAACCATTCTCTGCAAATAATATATATAAATATAAATTTAGTTATTAAGAATTATTGTAAAATGTAGTTACAGTTCTAACGAATACATTTCCTATGAATTTTTTTTGTACATGAATTTTAGTAGGGGACGCTTTTGAGCAGTGACTTTCAGTTTGTGTGTATTTCCGAGGTAGAAATCAAATTACTTCATATGCTCTTTAGTTCAATATCTTCATAAATAAAATCATTTTTGGGTATAAAGACTGATATATTATATGGCAAAACATTTGACTCTCCGCCTTTCGACCAAGGTCATCTTTTATTTAACAATACATAGAGGGGGTGAGTACGGACAGGAAGGCGATATGTACTTACCTTTGCTCCGCGTGTTGATTCGGGGTGTTTTGCGTGATACATGCAGAAGTATTTCCTGTGACCATTTAAAGCTATAATGGTGCCAACGCAGTTTCTTGGATTTATCTGTAGGTTTTTGGTTGTGCAAAGTGATATACGAAGCAACTCGGCATACCAAGATAGCCCCTTTTCCACAAGCATATGTCCAAATATTAATGTCTTGGATTTTCTATACGGCCAAATGGCTCTATGATAAGAAGGAATTAATTTTGTTCGACTCTGTAAATCCGTTATTAAAATAATGGTACGGCAGCCGGGCTTCAATAATCGAACCATTCCATTATACTTTTCAGCCCTCAGCTCATACAATTTGAGTTCTGGAACATGACGTCTGTGTTTACTATCTAAAAAAAAAAAGTTTTTATATGTACATGACTGAGCGTCAAAAAAAAAAATAGAATAAAATGTATATACTATTTAAAAACAAATAGAGAAGCTAAAATCGGGTGTCCCGACTTTGAAATACTCTGCACACTGCATACTCTGAAACTTGGCATACCAACTCATAATCACTTATTGGAGCTTACCTAGTTTGAGTTTGAAATCCCAAGAAATATGAGAGTTATGGAAAATCAGTGATTGTGGTGAGGAGGGGGGTGGCAGAGAAATTCGTTAGTCTCCCAGATATAGAACTGAAAATTAGATAACCTAATATACTCTTGTACATTTCATGTACAGAATATAAAAATAAACATAAATCCTTGTTTCACAGATTTTAATAGATCTTAGAGATAAGGAGCCAATTACCTAATTTCGCATATGATCAATGTCTTCTTTTTTGCACGGCTTTTCTGGAACAGAATTAGGCATTATTTGTTGGGCCTGCTCCGCCTTCTTCTGCCTGTTACATTTTTTTCAGCTCGCGCACCTAATATACTCTTGTACATTTCAGGTACAGCGTATAACAATGTTAAAGATTAAAATCTTAAACAAGCGGTGTTCATAAACTCGAGTGTTGCGACATTGAAAGACTCCTTACTTAAGTGTAGAACAATTATAAACATTAAACAGGAAAGGTATTCTAAAGTCCAGAAGGCTCAACTCTTAAATAAAAATAAAAATTGATTAAATTAATTAATTAAATTAAATAGAAAATATTCAATACATGCATACATTATATGTGTGTGTGCATTACATAATTATGTGAAAGCAGCAACAACAACAGCTGCGGGCAGAGCTTGGGCAGAGAATATATATGGGCGCACTCTCCTAGTGTTGTGCACTGGATCTATTTGGACGTCATACGACCCAAACTACTTTATGGTGCCTTAGTGTGGAGAGAATTCGCTGGAATTCCAACATATACAGATTACCACACACACACTGTAAAAAACTAAGCAACTGCGCCCAGCACGTCAATATCAACTTCATATAGATCCCAGGACACCAGAATATCGTAGCCCACTGCATTGAAGATGCATGTGTCCTTTCTCCCAAGTAAGTCATTGGTATGCCAGTAATTTCCGTCTGTTGTCTGACACGAAATCACGCACGGTTATTGGTGTAGCGTCGCTAGGATAGTAGTAATTTGTGTACTCGTGAAAAACTGAGTTCGAAATTTATTACCAACTTTATCGGTAGACCCATTTTCTCTGTGCCTAAACCTACAAAAATGAATACACATGTATATACACATAATCAGTACGCTCCACATATCTAATATACATAAGCACTACGGTAAATAAACGCATCAAAAACCAAAGAACTGACTTTTAATTTTCATAGAAGAGCACCCTAAGGGATCCAGCATTTCAACTACAAACAAGTGAATTCAGTTTTTGAATAGAAATTTCGAATCCTGAGATCCTAATGTTATAACATTTAAATTCCTAAGCCAGAAAATCACAATATCAAACCGTGCGTTCCTCATTTCATGATGGTTTAGATGAATCTTGCGCTTATAATACTTTCTCGTAGTCTTATCCAATTCACCAAACCACAATAAACAAGTTTGCAATAAAAACGACAAAAAAATACTTGTTGATCGATTATACCTCCGTCGTTATTCGAACTCACTCAGCCCAATTTCATCGAAATATCAGAATAAAAAAAACAAACTTGACCTGTCTGGGGCTCAGGGGAACCTGGATACCAAGTTTGGTAATTCTAGCTCTTGTACCTTCTGAGATCCTTGCGCTCGTCCGGAAGGACATGGCCGCCTGTTGCATACATTCGCACACAAGTAGTATATCCGTTTACCCTTTGGGTACAGGCTATAAAAAAGAGCGCAAAGATATTATTTTTCTAACATTGTTTAACGCAAAGTCTGCAGTGCGTCACATTGTACAGACGTCAATTGTGTCCCGTCAATTTCGATTTGATGACTGAGCACTATCTTCTCAAACCAGCCTGAACAGGTAATTGTCAACGTTGCAAATAGATCTGGAACTAGCAGATCCTCAAACTGCTCCTTGGCTCAGATGTATTCTTCTATTAAGAGCCACATTATAGAAACCAGCGAATCGCTGACTTTGCAAGCTACAGAACTCTGGCTGACCATGAACAAAGTTCCTTAGATGCACTATTTCGCAAGCTTAGGAAGTTGGAAGTGCAAAATTTGACTAATTCACATCTATATACTTCAGAACAAATGCTTTGCGAGAAGTCATTTCTCACTCGCTTTCCCCCGGGCCGCCTTAATGTATCGTTGCCGTTTAAGTCCAGTGCGCGGTCATCTGGCTAAAAGGCGCTTTTTAGACTTAAAAAAGAGACTGTCATTTTATGACTGAGTATATATCTTTGGGACACATGAACACGCAATCGACAACGCGGTTCCGAGAGAGCCGCACTATTTTATTCCGTAACAGTGCGTGCTAAGACCGCAAAGCACCTTAACAAAGTTGCGCGTTGTCTTCGACACGTCAAGCAAGACGTCGCCCCAAGTGTCCTTAAATAACATACTCATGGTTGGGCCGACTATACAGCCACGCTTATATTCAAAAAAATACAATACATAAAATATATCGGCAGGTCGATGCTATAGAAGGATAACACAACTTCCAACTCATAGGCCATCAGGAGGACACCAAAACGCTAGGAATAGTTTGAAGTCCTCGTGATGATGCGTTCAGGTACAGGTTGATAACCTTTCTGTTGAGATATCGCCTACTAAATGTGCGATACTGTCGTTTATTTTTAAATTATACGACCCACTTGGTCTGCTGTGCCCAATAATTACACGAGCAAAAATTTTAATGCTGGCTTAAAAATTTTCTTGAGGCGACCAAATTTCCAGTCCGTTATTAAAAGACTTGAATTCTATTACTAGTTCTTTTGATGCACTGGAGTCGGCGTCTCCAAAAATAAAAAATTCCAAATCCATGGCTTTGCTGACGCCTCAACAAGAGCGTATGGGTGCTGTCTCTACGTTCGAGTAGAACAGGAGCAGAACGTAGCTGTTTATTTATTGACAGTTAAGTCCAAAGTCGCACCGTTAAAACCCAAGAAGGTTCCGCGATTTGTGCTCCACAGCTGCTAGCGACACTGTGGGACAAAGTTAAGCAACTTTTTCATATGCCAATAGATCGAGTCGTCATTTGGTCCGAGTCGGAAGTAGTTTTGTACTGGCTGCAAACACACCCGGCTCATTTGAATACTTTCCTGGCAAATAGAGTTGCAAATATTCGAAAGCTTACTTCTGACAGATTTTGGCATCATGTTCCGACAGGAAATAACCCAGCAGATCTGGGTTCACGTGGTTGCACCACGGCCGCACTGGTTTAAGGGTTCACGATTCTTAAATCTAGATTGTTCCCTTTCGCCTCGTAATTCTCATATCGAACTGACCAAAGAGCAGTCAACGCTGGAGAAGCGGAAGAACGCGATGGTTGTCATCGTGGCCGATGAATGTTCAAATCCCTTTATGGATATTGAAATTCTCCACATTATCTGCTATTCCTGTTCGTCAACGGGAAAACAAATACAAACTCGTCACCTGTGCCAACAGCAGCTGAATTAGAGTTTGCATTATTGGCAGTTGTCCACATAGTACAACACACAGCTTTTGCAGACGAGATCTCAACGCTAAACAAGTGCTCGATCCTGCAGCCTTCGTACCAAAAATTAGATCCATTTATTTGTCCATTTCGAACGGGAAATCGACAATTGAATTTGATACGAGTTGGCGGTCGCTTGCTTAAGGCACCATGGCTTGTCAATGCGCGACAAGCTTGTACCGTAGTGGTGCGACAGTGTGTGCATTGCTTCAGGTATAAACCAATCCTAGCAAGCCAAATAATGGAAAATTTGTCCGCTGACCGATTACATGGCTTGTAGGCCATTTGAGGTGACCGAGTAAGTGGACTTCTGTGGTCTAATACCTGTCTCGATGGGAATTCGTGGCAGAGCCCCGGTCAAGATGTATGTTGCGGTTTTTGTATGTTTTGCCTCCAATTGATGTTGTGACAGACATGACTGCTAACTCTTTTATAATGTGTCTGTCTAGGTTTGTCGGCCGTAGTGGACCTGTGAAGCGGATATATTAGGACAATGCCACCAATTTCGTGGGTGCTGCACGCATTCCGCAACAGCTTCAGCATCAACAATGATGTCGTTGCCACATTTGCTGCTACAAAGGGAATAACGTTGCAGTTTTACCACTCCGCGAGCCGCATTTCAGCGGGCTATGGGTGGCGGCCGTAAAGTCCGCCAAGACGTTGCTGCTAAAGGCCATCGGAAGCGCAACGCTGCGGCAGGACGAGTTGGTAACCGTGCTGGTGGAAGTGGAGGCGATCCTGAACTCGCAAGCGATCGTGGCAGACAGAGCAAGCCCAAACGACGGAGAGGCCATCACTCCAGCGCATCTACTCATCGGAGAAACGCTGGTAGCGCTGTCTACAGGGTTAACTCAAACGCCAAACTGACATACTTAAAGCGCTGGAGGCTAATCTCAGGCATCAAGCATTGGTTTTGGGCTGATTGGTCCAAGGACTACATAGCTGCTGGACTGATGAGCCTGTCAATTTTAATGTTACCGTTAATGTTACCGTTTCCACCTATGTATGTAAGTATTGAATAATTATTTTATTTTGTTTGTTTTATTTTTTACTTAATTTTTTTATTAATTAATTGATTTTTTATACTCTGTACATAAAATGTACATGAGTATATACGGTTTGCGAGAGCTGAAAATGTAACAGGCAGACCCCACAAAGTATATATATTTTTGGATCAGGATGACAAACGGAGTATGAACACCACGTTTTAGTCCCAGATGCCTTATGTGAATAAGTCAAAAATGTGTATTTTGGAATTTCCCTACCTCCCCCCCTCTCCACGGCAAATTGCGATTTTCTCTAACTCCCGTAATTCTTGGAATTTCAAATTTTGCATGTGTCCGTACGCGAAGTTTCACTATGATAGACCGATTTAACAAGAAGTTATAGCCATAAATATATTTGCTGCAGCAGCGCTGCTCAAGCGCTGCCCGCGGCTGTTGTTGATGTTGCTGTTTGGTTGACTGCTAACATGCTTACACAGACACGAATATACGAGCATAAACATACATACACTCACATAGACGCAATTGCTTTGTATATGTGCAATTATACACCCTTTACGTGAGTACCAAAAGAGGTAAAATCGATCCAAAAATTTTTTATAATTCTCTTACTTTTTTTAATTTCTATAATTATTCTAAACATATGTACAGAGTATTTCAAAGTCGGGACACCCGACTTTAGCTTTTTTACTTCTTTTTTTCTTTTTTATTAATTTAATTAATTAATTCAATTTTTTCAAATAATTTAATTTTTTTAATATATATTTTTTTTAATTTTCCTTTTTTGTGGAGAGAACATGCTATTTTGCTGTCGGGCTTGCTCGACTTTAGTGTTCTATCTTGTTTTTTTTTTTGTGGGAGTGGGTACAGGGTAATTCACTCTCGGGCTTTGTTTTTGGTACAACGACAGCCATGTTTGACGGTAAATAGATGTATTATTTGTTTCTTAAAATTTATATTTGATCAACTTACTTAAGTTTTCATTTATATGTCCTTTCGCTTTTAGACTTTCCTCTTCCTCCTGTACAAAGTACATCATAACATATCCAATTCCAAACATAAGCGAAATAGTTCCTAAAAGTGATAGTGCAGCTAAAATATGTTCCTCTTCAACATTATCAGACAAATATTCCACTATGTTAAACAAGCGTGCGATCCATTTACTCCAAATTCCCTGCGCGTGCTCATCAAATAAATTCTGGAAGATATTTATATAGTCTATTCATAAAGAGTCTTGAATATATTTATGTTACCTGGACAACTGCTTCATAAGTTAACGCTTCATTAGTTCTTAAAAGTCGTTGTACAGTTATATCAACTTCGTATTTGGTCCTATTTATTATATGATCATTAAGACCATTCGAATCACTCATATTTTCCAGTTTTGATCCATCTACCCATTCATACTTAAGATGTGTGCTGTCACGTCTCCAAATAATCACAATCTGCAGTACATCATTTGCAAGCAAACCTTTTGATATAGCATTAAAGAACTCCGATTGTTTTTCCTTCAAATAAAAATTTGGAAAGTCATGAAATTACTGAGCAAACAAAGTATTAGAATTGCGATAATAATCACTATAATCATACCGAAAATTAAATACCTAAACATATATGGCATCTGTGTACAAAATTTTGTGTCTATTGGGCTTAAAGTCTCTGAGATCCACGGACGGACAGACAAGATCGACTCGTCTTATCATGCTGCTCCAGAATAGAATGGGGTCTTGGCTATGTAAATCACATTCGGGATGCATGTTTACACTAACAAGCGCAGAAAAGAAATCGAAAGCAATCTGCATGCCAATTAATATTTGGGTCACCGACTTTGAAGCATGTGTTGGCGTAACTAAAAGATTCAGCTTCATGAGTCCTGTGTACTGTTAATTTGAACGCAAAATATCCCATGTGGTTCAGCTACCTTCCACATTGAAGTGCACTCAAACCAACATGGGAGTAATCCGCTGACAGGCTGAATGTGAAGTGTACACGTTCGAAAATCGTAGACCCCGTGCACCGATTTGGATATAATGATGAACTGGGGAGTAGATTATGAGTAACCACATTATTATAATTGTTGTGGTTGCACTTGGTGAGTGTCATTCTCCTGTGTGGTCCTGGAATCGGTAGAGTACGTTGGTAATAGTTTGGTGGCGTTGTAAGGAGGCTGAAGACTTTGCGGAAAAGCTTTGGTTTATCAAATATCTTCACTAGGCTGGTACTAATGCTATGATGAGGCACTGGCTGTAGAGTGCTCGTCGGGATGGATTTTTCAAGTTCAGAGTTTAGACAAAGCAGCAGCAACAACAACAACAGCTGCGGGCAGAGCTCGGGCAAAGATTACATTTATGGCTAACACTTTCTTTCGAATTAACCTATCTGGATAAAATTTCGAAGAATTACGTGAGTAATTGAAAATCTCTATTAGTGGGGGATTAGGGAAAGGGCGAAATTATTTTGAAATAAAATTGCGTAGACTATGATATAGTGTCTCAATTTCTTTTAGTCTCTGAGATCTAGGTGTTCATACGGACAGACAGACAGACAATGCGTACATACTATATAAGGCATTTGTGCACACGCATGCAGCGCTGCCGTGTACAGTATCGTGCAGGCCGGCAGAGTGTGCAGTTGTGTGCACGCAGGCAGAGGCCGAGCGCTCGATCGTGCAACCAGACAGAGGCCGAACGCTCGTTCGTGCTAGGCAGGCATATGTATGCATGTTTCTGTGTATATATTTTTACTACCTATTTATTTACTAACTTTACTACCTATTTATTCCCATACCAATAAAACCTACAGTCAATTCGTACAGCTCTTTAGAATAGTATAAAATTAGAATACTTGTAGTATAATATATATTGTAAATAAACTACAAATGATCTAGTTATGTCCTATAGCCAAAATATTAAAATACGTTTATCTATATATATAAAACAGTTTGTCCTGACTGACTGATTGATCAACGCACAGCTCAAACGGTAAGAGCTAGGAAGCTGAAAATCGGACTCAAGTATCCTTTCATAGCGTAGGCTGGCGATATGGAGATTTTGGAAAATTCGAGCACCAAAAGGGGGAAAACATGTTCCAACGTTTGTTTGAAAAATCTACAATTTTCATCTGATTAACTTCAAACTTAGTTTGTATACTCTTAGAATTCCAAGAAAAACTGCATACTTGGTATTTGGAGATTTTTCTTGGGGCCTGAAATATGGGAGTTTTCCTGTAAAAAAAATGTTGGGGCACAAAAAGCACAGTCCAAACGGTAAAAGCTAGGAAGCTGAAGTTTGGGCTCATTTATCATATCATAGTGTAGGATTTTGGAAAATTCAAGCTCCAAAGGAGAGAAACGAGCTCCAAAGATTGTTCGAAAAATCCACATTTTTCAACCGATCGACTTAAAACGTGGTTTCTCAAATAAATAAAAGAATTTAAATAAAACTGCATAGTCGGTTTCTTAAAATTGGTATTGAAGCTTGAATTATTGGGGTTTTTATATTTCTTCACTTTTTTTTAAATGAAAAGTTTGTGTTATTAATGTTGTCCGATCGATTTCAAATTTGGTATCCGTAATCAACAAACCTATATCTACAAATTGGCATTCAACGATTTTCGAAATATAGAAATATGTTTTTTACTTGCCAGATGCAGCAACAATAAATAACAAAGAGCGCAAATATCAAACATCACATGTGGGGACATTACATAAACACACACAGTGACACATTCACAGACACAAACAGAGATGGGCAAAGTCGGTGCTCTTTATTGTTCGTGGCACATCGACATGACAAAACATTGTGATATATACATATACTAGCAAGTATTGCCCGTCTTAACCCGGCTCAATATAATGTTTCCAATTGTATTTATTTTGTGTGTGCATAACCTACCCATATGTTTTCACCTTATAAGTTACCAGTAGGAAGGCATTTAAGGTATTTAAATGAACATTTTCTGTTCTTGACAAAAAATTGTTCAGTAGTCCGTTACATTTTTGTTCTTGCCAAACTATTTCGTTAAACGAACATGACCACTATAACTAATATTTTTTAAGGCTCATTTTCCCCCCTTTGGAGCTAGAATTTTCCAAAAGCCTTTCTTAGTGTGCTCTTACACTATGATGGATACTATGAAAGGATACTTGAGTCCAAATTTCATCTTTTACCGTTTGGGCTGTGCGTTGATCACCAATTAGTCAGGACAAACTGTTTTATATATAGAGATAACGCAACGTTTTAAGATGTGCAAAAAAGGGGAATAATTATAAGGGTATATCCTAATTTTAAATTCACATTTGAGTCTTTTCGTGCCATATTGAGTCAATACGGTCACGCACAAACTCGGATGTGAAACACGGCACTCGTGTCAATGCCGTGCAGCGATGAGCCACAATCAAAAAGCACTGACAATTCTCATCTCAATTTGCTAGAGTAAAACTTTCGATAGTTGAAGCCACCAATACCATCAAAATATCGAAGTTTGAATGCAATGAGCAGAATATTTAAATAATAAAATCTAATTATTTATTGAGATCAATAAGAACAAATCATATACATACATACATCTGCCCGCAATGCGAAGCAGAATAGCTCCGTTATTCGGTTTCTGCTTTACTATCGCTTACGAAGTCGTTGCCTACTAAACTGTAACTGTAAACTTTTGGCGTTTTACCTTTGCAATTAACATTAAATGGTAAAAACGAAAGAAGAAGAGCGAGCCAATGACTTGCAGTTGTTGTTGTTTTTAGAGCATTATTTTTTTTACAATCAAACAACTGTGTTCGATTGCCCAATGTATACATTAATACGAATGTACATACATACTATATTCATACACAGGCATACATACATACATACATATGTATGTTTCTCTTTACTTTTTCAACCATACGTAGAGAACCGCACACATAGACACGAACTGTTGCTTGTTGTGTGTGTGAGTGGGTGTATGTGATGTCCCCAACTATTTGATATTTGTTGTTGCTGCATAAAGTTATTCATGAAAACCCTAATGCCAAATGCACTAAACAAAGAAAAAACAAGAGAGAACGTTACAGTCGAGCAAGCCCGACAGTGAAATACCCTGTACCCAGGTAAACTTCCGACACTGAGGTATATGCGCCCAAAGCAGAAGCAAAAAGAAGAAGAAGAAGAGCGGACTTGTTGCTGCAGTATGGGGGGATTGCACTGGAGAGAATTTGTTTTGCTAATAACTTTTCTTAGAATTGACCGAATTGAATAAAATTTTGAACAACAATAGACAATTATATATAAATTATGTGTGCAAAGTTTGGTTTAGGTAGCATTTGAAATGTGGACGCTATCGACGAAATTCTGTAGCGGGGGAAGGGGGGGAAAATTAAAAAAAAAAAAATAAACTCGTCCTTACTCGGACCTAGGAGAATCTGGATGCCAACTTTGGTTATTCCAGCTTTTATAGTTTCTGAGATCCTTGCGTTCATCCAGACGGACGGACAGACGGACAGACGGACGGACAGACGGACGGACATGTCTAGATCGATTTCTCTCGTCATGCTGATCAAGAATATATATACTTTATGGGGTCGGAGATGCTTCCTTCTGTATGTTACATACTTTGCACAAACCTAATATACCCTTTTTACCCTACGGGTACAGGGTATAAAAATGTTACATAATTTTCAATTAATTAACATTTCTTGCTCTGTCAGTGCAAGACGAATGTACATACATACATATGTACATAGATGTGCACATAAAATTCACATATTCACACATTAGTGTCTCACATTTTGCTTTGGCTATTTCAATCGTTTGCACTCAACTACACGAACAGCTGCTTGCATGTGTGTGTGTGTATGTATACTTAGTTGTCCCCAACTGTTTGATATGTTGTATTGTTTGTTCTGCCTGCTTTTGTAAAATGCATATTTTGAAAATCCTTGAATGCAAAATTGTAGATTTAGTTACGTAGATTACATTACCCAAATTTTAAATCAATCGGACTAAATTTATAACACAAACCTTTCATTTGAAATAGTGAATAAATATTAAAACCCCAATAATTCAAGCTCCAACACAAATGATAGGATACTTTAGCCCAAATTTCAGCGTCCTAGCTTTTACCGTGTGGGCTGTGGGCTGTTGACGCGGTTTGCTTTTGTGCCCCAACATTTTTTTACAGGAAAACTCCCATATTTTAGGCCCAAAAAAAAATATCAAAAAACCAAGTAAACAGTTTTTCTTGGAATTGTTCTGAGAGTATACAAACTATTTGAAGTTAATCAGATGAAAACTATAGATTTTTCATACAAACGTTGGAGCCTGGTTTCCCCCCTTTGGAGCTCGAGTTTTACAAAATCCCTTCTTAGTGGGCACCTAGACTATGAAAGGATACTTGAGTCCACATTTCAGCTTCCTAGCCTTTACCGTTTGCGCTGTGCGTTGATCACTAATCAGTCAGTCAGTCAGTCAGGACAAACTGTTTTATATATATATAGACTAGCAGGTCTTGCCCGTCTTTGCTGGGCTAAGTAAAATGTGCTAATAATTATAAGTTTATTTACTATATGATATTCTTCATTCGACGCTCGCAAAAGTTTTTTAAAGAGTTCATTTTCCAAATAGCAAATATAGTACAATAAGTACTATGTATGGTTATACGTAAATACATAGTTGTACATATCTTCGTTACGCACCAGGCGGAATGCCAGTCCTGACTTAACTGTGTGCTTCCTCAGCACGTTGTACGCACGGTCGAGTTATCCCCGAAAACTCCGACGCGGGACATTTAATTTTATTGGCTCGCGCTTCTTCTTTCGTTGTGATCACTTACGCCTGTTAATTTCAAAGGCAAAATGTCAAAAGTTTACAGTTACCGTCGCAACGACTGCGAAAGCGATAGTAAAGCAGAAACCGAAAGCGGACCTAAGCATATTCTGCTTCGCGTTGCGGGCAGATGTACATATATATGTTTGTATATGATTTGTTCTAATTGATCCCAATAAATTATAAGATGTTATTATTTAAATTTTCTGTTAATTGCATTCAAACTTCGATGGAATTATTGATTGTATCGACGGATTCAACTATCGATAGTTTTGATGCTCTAGCACATAGAGCATCCGACACATGCCCATCTCTAGCATCTCAGCTGATCGCATATTTACAGCGACTTACCGTTTTAGTGTTAGCTAACAACGCTACAAATATACTCTGAACAAATCTAAGAGTCATTTATCGTTAAGCCTATTTTATGAGTGTATTCATGCGATTTACAAAAGCAGAAACACACCTTTTACATTCACAACAATCATAGTTGGAATTGAAGACACAAATTAGTGTTGAATTAAAAAATTTAATACATAATTATTCATATATGTATGTATGTATGTATGTATGTATGTATGTATGTATGTATGTATATAGGCGGATAAAGCCTGCATGAAAAATTTAAATGTATGTACATATTAACGTTGCCGAACGCTCCATTTTGGCGGGACGTCCCGATTTATAAATCAAAATTAAATGTCCCGCGTCGGAGTTTTCGGGGATAACTCAACGTGCTGAGGAAGCACACAGTTAAGTCAGGACTGGCATTCGCCCGGTGCGTAACGAAGATATGTACATATGTATGTATGTATGTACGTATAACCATACATAGTACTTATTGTACTATATTTGCTATTTGCAAAATGAACTCTTTAAGAAACTTTAGAGAGCGTCGAAAGAAGAATATCATATAGTAAATAAACTTATAATTATAAGCACATTTTACTTAGCCCAGCAAAGACGGGCAAGACCTGCTAGTATATACATACTTTAGGCTTAAAAGCTAATTTATGTAGTACGCGTATATCTTTTACGAAGTCAACTTACCTTGAAAATGTACGCAAATCTAACTCTTTCGGAACTGTATCCACTTTGTAATGCAATGTGCCTTAACGCCCCTCTTGCTAAATCATGTTCTGCCGTGTTTTCCGTAATAAGAATTATACAAAGGCGCTTTCTTGATCGACTCCATTCAGCAGGGCACACACCTTAAGAAATAAATATATTTAAACCATTTATAGAAAACTTTGAGTTAAAGGTTTAATATAAATAGACTCCTAAATAAACCACGAAAGAAAAATAATTATAAATATTCTGATACCGTCGCCGCAAGTGCGGGCTTCGTGGAACTAAATTAAGTTAGCTATTAGTCAGTTCGATAAGACATTCAGTGCTTGAACATCTTACACAAGGTAAACAAGACTTTTTGAATCTACTTGTAGCGCCCCCCTGGTGACACTATCTATATGTCGACTGGTGCGTTAGAATCTGCTATCTTTAGCGATTGTTCAGTGAGAATTTCATGACATTTCATCCATTGGAAGTGAAGTTATTGCGTTTTAAGTGTCAGTATGTTTGTGTTATCGGTGCGAAAATGAGCTTCGAACAAAGAGCCAACAATAAATTTTGTTTTAAAATTGGTACAACTTTTACAGAAACGTTTCAATTGATGGAACAAGTTTATGGCGATGATTGCCTATCCCGTAGCAGAGTGCACGAGTGGTTTTAACGTTTTCAAAGTGGTCGTGAGGACATAAATGACGATCATGTGGGCCAATCAAAATTCGTGATCACCGAAAATTCCATCGAAACTTTGCGTGAATTCATCAAAAATCAGCCGAAATCATCATTGAAATTGATGGAAATGGAATTGAACATCTCCAAAACATCGATTTATCGCATTTTGACCGAACATTTGGGCTTATGAAAGGTGTGTGGTTTGTTCCGTACAAATTGACTGACGACCAAAAATTGCTCAGAATCGATCGACGCTTGTGACCGATTATTTGACCAAAAATCACATTTTAACCATTAACCCGCCGTATTCACCTGATATGGCACCGTGCGACTTCTACCTTTTCGGAAAAATGAAAGGAAAGCGTTATGCAGACGTAGAGGCCATTCAAAAGGCTTGCACCGGCATACTGGCGGCCATACCGCCAACGAGCTAAAACACTCGTTCGACATGCTTTTGGATCCTGCAAAAAGCTGTATTGAAGCAGAAGGAGACTATTTTGAATAAAATAAATTGATTTTGCCGAAAAAAGCATTTGATCTGTTTTTTTTTTTTAAAAGTCCTGTTTACTTTGGAACACACCTTGTACGATCTTATGATTTCGAAAACTTTATTTTGCGCCTTTTTAAAATTGTATTTATGTTAAATTAGTATGTTGTGTAGTTGTGACTTTTTATTTTATAAACAAATATAGGCTGTCGATACATAATGCAATAAATTATATTGATTGCTTTTTCTCTTTCTCTTTCTACTTCGTACTTTTTCTAAATAGTTGTTAAATAGAATTAATTTTCCACCTCTATCTACATTTTGTATATTATATAATCGACAGAATTATTGTTGATATTCTAAATAAAAAAAATAAAATAAAAAAATATTTATCACCTAAAAGATAAGAAAGCCTACAAATTTTATGTATAATAATGCCTATTAAAGAGGGTTTATAAAACGAGCACACTGCTCGCTGCTGCACACACATGGAGCGCTGCCTTGAGCAGTATCGTGCAGGCCGGCAGAGGCGTTGAGCACCCAGCAGTACGGCATACCGGTACAACTTCATGCCATTCGTTTTTACACACGATGTCATACAAAGCGGACAATTGTCCCCGTTTCGCCAACATCGGACTGATCCACTTTTATAACGAGTGGACTACTCCATGGACCGGTCCGTTTTGGACTAGTTTTGGACCGTGACTACCCCTCTGCCAAACAGAAAAATCAATACACAAATAAAAATTAATTCATTATATTTCAGTTTATTGGCTACATAATAATACATTAAATTAATCTGTACATATATTTATTATAGTTATATTAACTATGTATTTTTAATTTTTTTTCCTGTCCTTGGTACGCCCCCTTCTTGGACAGCTGCAGAGCTCTGCGCAACTTCACTTCTGCGGAGCCTTCACAATAGATTTATAAGCAATTCTGAAATTGTAAATTTATGTAATTGTACGAGTGTATGTAAAAATACTTACCTTTTTATATGTCGTACTTTTCAAAACACTATTCGTTTGTCACTACGCAATTAACACACACGTCACATGCAACACTTTGCGGCAAACTAAATGTCAGACCAAGACAAAGTAATCGGAGTCAGGGGAAACTCAAAAGAATAGAAAAGTAGCTTAAAAAAAAGAACGTAATTTGCTTAATATTTGCTGGTGTAATTAGACTAGCGAACAAAGTAGCAAGACTTGTTTAATATTTGTTATTGTTACTTGATGACGAACAAGGCGCACGAGCATCAAATCGTTTCTTTTAGCACTGTCACACTGCCTTTCGTTCTGTTTTGTGTCGATGTCCTACCGGTATCGCGCTGACTTCCTGGACTGGTGTTGACACTGGTACCTTAGGACCGGTCCATCAGTAGCCCAAAGCGGACAATTGCCACAAGCCGAACTGAACGGCAGTTTTGAACAGGAAGGCAGCGGCCGAGCGCTCGATCGTGCTAGGCAGGCGTATGTATGTTTGTGTGAAATTTATATGATGGCATAATTGTGTGTATATATTTCATTCATATTTTGCGTACGTTTGCATATTGGTACCTGCTGCGGTAGTGGCACTGCACTTGGGCGTTCACGGGAAATCATCCAGGCCTAGCGTCAGCAATATTCGGCTGCGCATGTTGACCCAAGCATGGGAAAGTCAACGTTTGTGTTGTTAACTCTTCCCCTCTTAAATTCGAACGTCTTCGTTCGTTACGGCTACTGAGTGTTGACTCCATGGTGGGGTCACCTTTGATCACGTTGAGAATTCCTTTAGTTTTCAATAGGTACCTGATCAATGGTACGCTCAAGCCAGCTATTAAGGCGAACAGGAACAGACCATCCGCGGTGTAGGATTATATGTTCAGCAATTCTATGTCATGTGTATTGTTTACATGCATCTCTTTTACAGCCTCTAATGTCAGTATTTCTTCATACTTTCTGACTGTTTCTTTTGGATGTAGAATTGCGGGGAGAAGATGAAAATACCGAGGTGCTGCACAACGCCCTGTCCACTGAAAGATTCAGAAGTGGAAATACAATTTGTATTGTAATTTTACGCTGCGGTATGCTACATGTTGCAGAGAGGAGCAGAGGCCACGTTCTGTTGTTTGGTGGGCAGCAAGACAAAAGTGGCGCCACTAAAACAGATGTCAGTGTCAAGGCTTGAGCTGCGGGCCGCAACAATCGGAGCACGTTACGCGCAGGTAATCGCATCAACAATCAACACGAAGTTTACAAGACGAGTATTCTGGGTAGACTCTAGCACGGTGCTATCCTGGCTATGATCGGATCACAGGCGGTACAGCCAGTTCGTTGGATTTCGGGTGAGATATTAGATCTAACCGAAATATCCGAATTTCGCTAGGTCCCAAGCAATGAAAGCGCAGATGCTGCTTTAGATTAAGATAGTTTAAGAGAATTATTTGAATTTTAGTTTAGGGCCAAAAGAGAGCGCGAGAGCGGCCGTTTGCGGACGTCGCCTCGCGCCCTTTTTTCGCCGCCTTAGGCTTAGTTTAGCATGTAAGCCTAATTTGAAGTTAGTTGTAAAATAGAACTAAATATAAGCACAATTGTCGCCAAATCGTTCGCATTTCTCCGCATAAAAGTCGTTAAAAGCAAGCATCCCATTTTCTTTGTTTTTAATAATTTATATAAAATCATATAAATTTTCATTGGCGCCCGAGCAGGGACTTGCTTGTTTTTTTTAATTAAAAACTTTAATTTGTGCGGAACCGCGTCGGTCGTGTTGTTGTTGCTGCACTGGGGATTGTGTGTGTTGCTGTCACGTCAACTGGATTATTGGAGGATGAGTCAAGTCGACCAAAGGGAAGTTCCTGAGCCAAAGTCGACTTCACAGGTACTGTGCTAAAGTTTGAAAGTGGAATTTAACCAGCGAATTGCTTATTTCGGCCTTCAACTTTCAACCTTTGGCACATACGTGACCATAATATAATACGGTAGATAGTTGAGCATAATTAACACAAATATAAATCGCATGTCGTACTAATATTAAATAAAAGTGAACCGCTATAGGCAATTATTTAAAGTGCCAATTTATTGTCGTTTGATTTTATTATACATACATACATACATAAATATACATAGCCACTTTTACATACGGCATCCCCCCCACGTCAATCTCAGCCAACCGTCGGCAGTTTTCGTTTGTTGCTTGCTCTCGTTGTTCTCATCAAATTCGCCGTTGTCGTTATTACATATGTAAATATATACCGACATACTCGCATACATAACATAGCTAATACATTGCTGTCGTGTTCGCGCTTAAGCTGCTGCATTTTTTGTTTGCCTGCGCTTCGCATAATACATGCATAAGAATTAGCTGTTCTGCTAACGCACACAAGGCATTTGTATTAGAATTATTCTTTTCGTTTGTCGCCACTTTCGCTGCTGCTTCCAAAAGTATTGCCTTCGACGGTCAGTCAACTGCAGTTCTTCTCGTTTTCGTTCGCACTGCTAGACGACCATCTGTTGCGCTCCCCTACACTTGCTGAGAACAGCATATTATTTTCGATTTCTCGTTTGTCACTCGACAATTTTCGTTCGATCAAGTTTAAAACTTTAAATTAATATGAGTAAGGACTTGATCGAAGAACTTAAAAGGAAGCGCGAGGGCTGTATGAGGAGTATATGTCGTATGCAACGGCAATTAAAAGAAGGCTCGATTTCGTTAGAGCCAATCGAGTTAGAATGCAGGTTAGAGCTTCTAACAACTCATATAGAAACTGCAAATATATTGCAAAGCAAAATTGAAGCAAAAGATACAGAAGATGACTACCGTGAAGAGTTGGAAGAAACTTGCATTATGACCAAATCCTTATTAAAAGGCCAGCTGGAAAAACTAAGAAGAAAAAGCATCGACAATTCAAGTTCGGCAAACGGTATTGCACCGCCTACTTCAAAAAAGCCAAGGTGTCGATTGCCAGCGGTCGCTCTTCCAACTTTTAGCGGCAAGCATTCT